TTTTCTCCTGGCCAAGCCTACGTCGCTCTTAGCAGGTGTCCTACTTGGGACAACGTTAAGGTATCCCACCTTGACCCGTCAGCGTTTATGGTCGACCAGTATATGGTTGTGGATTACCAAAGGCTGAACGACGTGGCGTTGACAAGTCCGTATTGAGAGACTATCGAGAGGTAACCCTTTATCGGGTTTCTTGCTTATGTTTTACCTCGACATTATTTTACGATTTTAATCATTATTTGATATTTTGTATCATGATTGGCTGTTAGTGACAAAACGCATTCCTGTTAAAAGGGTAATTAGCGGAAGAACTTATCGGTAGCTTTTTTTTCTCTTGCATTATCTCTTTGTGCGTGGTTGTGTACCGATGACATGTAAACTGCATCAACACGTTACCTCCGATCCTTTTTTTTCCGTTAAACTGTTAACGTTATACCCACTGCGTCATTACGACGTTACATAAAACGAAATCGATGATCGCGTGTTGTGGGTATTGGGAATCAAATGTACTGGCTAGTTTATAATAAATATATAGTAATTAATTTTTTTTGTTTTAGTCATATTACAATTCCTGTTTATAAAAATCAAAGCCATGCACATTTTTAATGAATCTGCTGCGAAATTGATGAAAGTAATTGAAAAGTTAATAATGAACACACATATGGTCTTACGCATGAATATTTTAATCTCGAGATATATATATTTTTTTGTAATTGGGACGAAAATATTTAATTACTCATATTGGCTGATCAGAAAAGAACCCTTAATTATATTAGTATATTTGTACTAGTGAACCCATCAGTTTGAGCTTAGATATTAATTGCCCCAATTTTTCCAATCAGCCGATATGTACAGACTGACTTTAGACGTTTTCGGAAGAGCTGTCTATAATTATTTATTCTATTCGAAAAATTCATGGATGGGTTTGTAAAAGAAAATTCCTCATATATCTTTCGGCTAATAAATGTATTTCTCCGAAGCGTAATATTTATGTCAAGAAGTTCACTTGCAGTATGAAGAAGCGTTGGCGTAATAATTATTAACGAGTTGATTGCTTAACTTGCTCAACTCAATTAAGATATGGTAATTGAAATTTTGCATCGATCTTTATTTCGTTCTAGGATTTCCGAGATGTTTATCAAGATATCTCGCTTATTTGAAATGATTGTTAGAAAAAATTAGGCCATGCACATTAGCATTTTTCGGTTCACGTCACCCGACCAGGTCACCTTTAAATTTTAACCAAAAAGATTTACCACAGACCAATTTCGATGTTTTTTTGCGAAATCCCAGTGGTATATGTAAAAAGTTATCACATGACTTGAAATATAAATTTATTAGCATTGTTACATTGAATATAATTTCGCCCGAAAATCTCGCAGCTAGTCTTTTGAAGATCATTGGGGTTGGTGCCAGTATGACAGGATGTCAATTTTTTTTTTTATATATACAAGCCGGAAATCCTTAAACAGCTCAACATTCCACGCTCGCCCTTGTTATATTTCTTTGCATACATTCACTTCGAATCCTTCCTTAACACCTTCGCGCTAAATTTCGTTTTCGCCGTTTTAACTTTTTAAATTTCGTATATGTAACTTCGTTTATTATTTTACTTTTAAATTCCGATTTTTATTAGTAGTTTATTACTCAATTTTTATGTAATAATTTGTATTGCGCATTTCTAATTATTTTGATAGCATTTACTTAGTTTTAATATTTTGACAAGCGAAAGTGTAGAGCGCCGACGTTGAGGTAACACTGAACGAATTGATAATATTAAATAAATTTAGCGTCATTTTTATTCAATTAATAACTTCTGCTTACAATACTAGTTGTTTATAAATACATAAACGAAAGAACTGAATACAACAGTATTATTAACCTTATAATCAAATTAGTTCTCGTCATTTCTTGGTTTTTTATATTTCTTTTTCTCTTTACTTCCAACAGATACATTAAAGTCTAGAGGTTGGAACCGGCCTAATAATCTTAATTAACCGGTTATAATAAACTTAGGTAGTAATATAAGTTTGGCCAGATTTAGCACAATCATATAAATCTTAATTCTGGCCGAAAATAGAATTCTCAATTGATTACTCACTCGTTTTTAGGCCAACCAATCAAATCGTTTCATCAATTTACGGGTCAAATTTTTTGACAAATTCGTGCAACTTTTTCAATTTTACTTTTATAATAATTATTAAATATTATCTTTTAAAATAAAAATATATGGATTTAAAATCTTTGGTAAATCAAAAAGTTTTTTTGAATGAAAAGTAGAAAAAAATTCATAATTATTTTTTTTTATAGATTTGAAATTATGATATATTAGTAAGATTATTTAAAAAAAGTAATGAATAAATATTATATAATTTATTTTTTTAATAAAATCTGCTACCATTTAGCTTTAAAATGATATATTATTTTAATTTAGTTGGTACATTAGTTATAAAATTAAAGAAATTTAAAAAATTGTAATTTTTATTGCAACCATTGTACGTGAACCGAAAATGTAATTTGCGTGGGCTTATACAGAAAATTGAACGGTCCAAATGTAAAACTTCCATGTAGATTTTATACATTTGAAGAAGTTTTTCCAGAATTGTACGTACAAAATAATTATTATGATAGGTTTTAGGAAAGAGATATTCGATTTGTTCAGTACCTTGCGTTGTTGCTTAATTATTGAGTCGACAATTTCTTCGAGTGACTCCTGTTTATAATCATATTCCTTCTTCTCCGCCTCTTGGTTAATTTCAAGCCATGTAATCGATTCTTGAATGGCAACTTCAAGTTTTCTCTGTCTATTGGATGTAGATCTTTTCGTCCTATTGACTAGAGATACCATGATGTTAGAATATAATTAAAAAAAGTTAAAAATGCTTACATATGCATAACTGATGCACCGAGCCGATCGAGTCATTCGAGAATTAATTCGAGTCGGGGTTATCATTTTTATGACACGAGTTCTAATTTAATAAAACCTGTCGGATCATGGGTGCTCGACCCGGGTGACCCCTGGATGACCTGGTGATCAGTTTTTTTTTTCGTTTTACTTTATTAAGATTGTTTTTAAGTAAATGAATTACAATATATTGTACTTGATCCACGGTTAAAGCTTGGTTATTATGAATATTAAAAAGCTTAATTCGAAATGCCAAAGAAACGTTTCTTAATATTTATAACACTTACAATACACCAGAAAATATTAATGATGAATAGTATCATACATATTTTTTGTAAAACATAAAAAAAATAATGTCAACCAAATGAGATGGAATTATATTTAAATGCATAATCTGGTCGAGTCGAATTCGAGTCGAATCCGAATACGTTCCCGACCCGACCCTTACGGAGCACTAGCATAACTTTCCAATCCATTTCGTGCCTGTATTTTTCGTACAACAAATTTTTCATCTTCTTCACGATATTTCTCGTCTTCGGCAACTATTATTATAAATATTTTGTCTAAAGTTTATTATAATAATACTTATAAATTATATTCATGAAATTTGAAAATTTGATTACGTGCCCCTTCATTTCTTGATTGTCATACGTGATGATTGTCATACTCGATATTCCAGTGTCTTTATCAACAGCCAATACCATTAATGAATTCGAAGTTAATACAATAAATAATTAATGACAAGAATAATTACAGTTTAATAACTAATACATACGTTTAGGAAACCATTTTCATCATCATCATCAAAGGTGATTTAAATCTTTGTAACGCCTTTTGGTGCTGGTCGAATTCCAATCAATTCGAATCTTTCAAGAAAGTTGTTATCAGAACGTTCACTTCATAAACTTAATAAGTATTCCCATTTGATTGTCAGCATTTGTGGAGATCACTTCCGATTTCTTGGTAGGCTAACACCACCGATAGTTTCAACAGCTACATCAAGTAATAGAAAATCATGACCTTTTTTGTAATATATCACGTGATAAAAAACAGCTGGCTGACCATATGGATTGATGGATGATCCTTTTGGTATTAAGAATTCAGATACTATCTACCAAATCATGGAATGTTCGTTGAGCCACCAACTAGAACAATTTCATGGATTTGTCTTTAATTTCGGAATTCTTTGCTAATCGGTTCCATTGTAGATGCTCTTGTTAAGAAATCGATACTTTCGAAAAGAGAATCAATTTCAATAGAAGAGTGTAATGATGTGAAAGGTCACGATTTTTCACATTCACTTGCATTTTTCAATCGACGGAGAGCTCTTGCATTCTTTTTAAGGTCTTTCCTAAATTGCGCTTGAATACTTGTGCAAAAATGATTCACAAGGCGATTGACAAAATCTTCTCCACCAAGAAGTGTGTTACCAGCAACATCTTTTACTATGAAAACTCACTCTTCAATTTTTAAAAGTGAAACCCACCTAAATTCTAGATAAGAACGTCTCATTCTTCATTATCTTGCTTATCAAAGCCAAAATCAATGGCCGCTGTGGTTGCCTCATTAATTATCGAAATACATTAAAACCAGCGATTTCACTGGCATCATTTAGTTTGACGTTGAGAGTTATTGAAGTAAGCTGGTAATTATGGCATTATTAACTTTTGTACCAAGAAAAGCTTTCATCTTTATCAATATCATAGAAAATTTTCTTCAGGTGGGAAAGCTTTCTTATTGCCTATGAATTCTACCTGAATACATTGGATTCCGCTCTTTCCGATAACCTTGAAAGGCCAATGATAATAATAATAATGTATTGTTAGTATTGAATGAAAATATTGCAAAAAATTGTGTGATAATTGTATTAACAATAGAGTTTACCTTCATATCGGATTGAATGTCTGTTCGCCAAATCTACGACCAACGAGACGTTTAACGTTCAGTATTACAAGGGTTCGTGGCAACTTGATTTTTATCGTCATCACCAATAAGTCGTTCCGTATCGGTGATAGCGATATACGAAGGTGTCAACCCCTGTCGTTTATCCAAACGCCGACACAGGAAGGAGTGTTTTGGAAAAACAAAAAAAATTGTCAATTTCCGTCGTACAGAAATGCAAAAAAAAACATTTTGTTCTTTGCATATCATACCAGCATATCCATGATATGATAAATAAATATTGTTACTATGGCGAAGGTTCGTTTCTGTTAATGATCAAACTTTTTCTAAAATTGTGCAAGAAAATGATTTTTATTTTTCCTCGATTTTATTAAATACAATAAAATCATTGAGCTGTTTTTTTGGAGTGTTACTTGGGATTATAGACTAGAGTAAAAAAATCGAAGAAATTTTAAAAATATACTTTATTTATTTGACGCAAAGTAAGAGTATAAAAACAAGCAAATTAATGGCATAGTGAACGTCGATCATATTTACATATCTTTTTTTTTTTCATCTAAACTTCAATATTAATTAAATCGAAAATAGGAATGTCAATTAATTTGTCTTAAAATAACTTTCACGTGCTCTCTTTTTTTTTTTTTAAAAAAAAAAAAATTATTTTCAAACGTCAAAGCGGACTTTTTTTATTTACTAAAATCTTCTTTATTTATCTATTAACAAAAATTAAATATTGTAAAAGTTGTAAGAATTAATGTACACTATTATAAAAAGTGACAATTTTATTTGTTATGAGATCAAAACTTGATAAATTTACCAAAAAAGAGATAAATTATAAGGTGAAGATATTAAAGATCGCGCGGATTGATGTAAACTTTTCATAGCCAGATCATCTAATTAATCTTACTAGCATATTATTTAAATGAATAGCTCGCTTGACACCTATTTAAAATCAATTAATGGTAATTAATAGTCAAAAATTGATTTCAAAATGGTTACATAGAAATGATTCGAATATAGATAGATTTCATCCGAATATTGAATAACAAACATTTGTATTATGACGAACTCGTTTGGAGAGTTTTGCGGTTAACTGGCCCTTATTGATATCTCGCAAAGAGAATTTCTAAGATTACGCGTAGATGAACTCTTTTTTTTTTTTTTAATAAAATAAAAGAACAATTTGATGAATAATTACAACCCTTTCAATATAAATTTTCATATATATGCTTCCTCTGTATATACACTTTAAACTGTATTTAAAATCATTAATTTTAATAAAACTATTTTAATTATACAAATCAAATTATTGAAAAATTACCATCTTCATAAATCTTGTACATACCTGTTATATATCTTTCCACAGATTTGTAAAAAAAAGAGCATGAAACCTAGTAAAGTTTTTCTGATGCATGCACAACCGGACGGGTTGCCGCGCCATATAACTTTTGCGCCAAGATGAGGCAAACGACGTCTATTTTTTTTTTATTTACTTTACAGAAAAAAAATTTAAAAAATTATACCATCAACCTTTAACGAGATCCATATTTGTTTTGAAATATATCAAATAAATTATTCTTGCTATTTGACTTTTTTAACTTTTGAAAGATATATAAAATTTTTTAATGGGTTGAGTGAAGTTGCATTTTTTTTTTTTTTTTTTTTTTTTTTTTTTGTTGCCAAAAAGAGCGTAAATTAAAGTTCATTTACATTTATTGATCTAACCTGAATTAGAATGTTTTATTAAACAACATATAAGGCAAGTGACGCGTTTAAAATCATTTTTCAGCCAATGATCATGAAAAATTTATGATGTGATAATTTTAAATAAAAACTGATTATCATTACCCACTTTGAAAAAAAAGAGTTAAGTTGGGAAAGGTAAGGATTCCACTTCCTTACTTCTTTTATAAGTTATTTCTGTAAATAGTCATTGGTTATACAGAAATTAGGATCGTGACCTCATTGTGAACTTACCAATTGCAAAATCATCAGCTGAAACCATTGTATTTGGATCCAATTCTTTGTAATTATTGATTTTTAATTTATCGATGTAGAAATGCATATGTTCTTGGTTGGAATTGAAAAAGGAAATGTCTACGTGTTGTTTACGTAAATTCCTAGTTCGGGATTCGGGGATTCTACTCCGATAAGCAACTCAGGTATCTTTTGGGTTACACATTATCATCTCTTCTAAGCCATTACTTATTCTTTACCTTGATATTGACGATCTTATTGTAAAAAGTTTGTTCATTACAAAAATTTTATGTTTATGTATACAATAAGACAAATGTATTCCATGTACAATGAAAGGGGACAATAGAACTTAATTTTGAATGGGTATTTTTTTTTTTTTTTTTTTTTGTGTTCGTGATTATGTCGTATAAAGAACAAATAACTAACGTAATTTCATTGATATAAATCGGTTACGTAAAACATCTCTTAAATTTTACTATAAAAAGCTAAACGAAAAAAAAAATTGTCTAGCAAGCCCATTCAAATTCTTTGTCTTGATTTTTCTCCTTTTTTTTTTTTTTTTTTTATCTTTTGAACACGAAAAAAATATTTAAATTTCGAAATGATTCATAGAATCACCTCATTATTGTCGGAGTAACGCCCTTCGTACGTAGTCCCACTTCAACGGATCTGGACCAATTAATGTTAATTACGTAATTAATTATGTAAACTTGTAGTACGTCTAACTTTAGATATCAAAGTAAATAGGGATAAATTCATACTTATTATTTATAATAAAAAAGTCAATTTTCGAACAGATTTGATTTCATTACAATTGGAATCATGCAACTACTTACGTAATCTTGCATATCCGGAAATCAATGATTTTTTTTTTTTTGATAGTCATGTGAATCGAATCTTGCATAGTTTATTAATGGAACCTAAATAAAAACTCTTTGAAGGATTTACTGTTGCCAATGATAAAGAAGACGAATATAGATTATGTAATTTCCATATTTAATCGTTCCCGATTATATTATCGGAAAAACTAATGTTATTGTAATTACAATTAATTGAAATTTTTTTATACATTAAATCGGATTGCTTACGTATGAATAAATTTCAATATATAAACGGTCGTTTATTTTTCTTCTCCTTCTTCTTATTATTTTTTTTTTCCCCTAGAATTTATCAACAATATATATCAATCATCCTATTTTTACCAATATAAAACAAAATGAAATCTTCAAAATCAAAAAAATTCAAGTACAACTCACATTCTGAAACCTTTAATTTTAATTATATATTAATGGTTCAACTCGGTATACTTTATCGTATGAAGATGGAGGAAGTATGTGGGATTTATTTTCATGTTCGAATCATGTCGTCGGGTTGATCTAACATTGGTTTATTTTTTTTTTTTTTGTTTAGTTGTTAGAACGCCATTCAATTTTTCCTCTCCGATCGAGAGGATCATGGTGTCAATGTATTTGACATTGGGTAAGTTTGTTGATTTTGTGTAAAAAAATTTCAAACTTGTTAATATTGACTTTTGCCAATTCTTTTTTTCTTTTAAAAAAAAAAAAACTTAGGTGTAAACCTGGATTTTGGTTTCTTGATACGGATGGCATCAGAATATCCAAAATCCCTCGGACATAATGCCTCCTAATGCATGGAGGTGCATTATGTCTACCGTAGAAGGTATACGGTGGAAAGGTCCTTGTATGAAGCTATTGCGTGAAATTTTTTTTAATAAAATATTATTCTTAATTTTAACCAAAACAATTTATACTGTTCCATAAATGCATATAATTAGTACTTTTTATCTTGAAAAAATTGTTTTTAAAATTGTTTATGCGAAATAAATGAAGTTACAATTGAAACTACAATTATTAAGGTACAAGATGACGTCGTTATTAAAAAAAATCTAATGCGTGATAAATGGTTTGCCACAGCTGTCTGACCGATATTAAGCCACAATGAGCGTGCGGTATGGCTTTAACCACGGAATGAACTGCGTTTCCGCAGTACTGCGACGAAAGTGGCAGATACTTTGTATTTTCTATATCATTACTTAACTATATACTAGCCGTAGTAAGTTATCGCATGTCTTCGTATAATATAAGCCTTAAAAAATCTACAATAAATATTGTTTTATTCTACAATTTCAACTTCTTATAGTGAAACTAACCACACAATGAATCGTTAAATCATCATTAGGAAAGACATTTGAAAGTTAGCTTTTGTTTGTTCGTAGAATGATCAAACATTTATACTTAAATATTTAATGAAGTATTGACTAACTCAATTTTCTTTACACAAATAATGTTTAATAAAGATATCGTTATATTTGAAAATAATATTTTCGGATAAAATAAATGAAATTCGAAGATTGGTATTAAATGAATGGACGTTCAGAAAATCTATATAAAACATAATTGTCGATACCCAAGACGATCGTAGAGACAAATTATGTAAGACAAAAATTAAGGAAACGTCCTTTGATTTTGGATAATTTTATTTACCAGTTGATATGTTGCGGTGCGACGTCCGAAACCTTGTACATTATTTCCTAATCAAGAAAAATGTTATAATACACTCGTTTTATTATTATTAAGAATTGCCAATTTTATATTTTCCAGTAAGAAAGTTTAAAAATTTTCACTTCAAAGTTTTATATCATATCAAATCTGAAAAGTTTTACATTTACTTTGAGAATAAGTCATTATTTGACGATAAACAACCAATTAAAATCAATCGTTGATTAATTTTACGTGTCAATTTATTTAATTTGTTCTTGAATCAAAAGAACCTAGTTGCATTTTAAGTCAAAATACCGAAATTCCAATTTTTCATATCATGCTCAGTTACACCTATAATGAGTATCTGGAACAAATCAATAAAAATGTTTCTCACGAAAAAATAATAAGAAATTGTTCCAAGACGACGCGTTCAGGGGATTATTAATATTAGACGCGGTAATCTTATCAGATCGGCAAAGAGACGATCACTTTTATGAACTTTACAATATTTTTATTACATGAAATATATAAATATTATTTACTTACAACCCATTCAGCCTATGCATGATGTAATTGGTCAGAACATTCGATTGAAAGAGCCAGGTTCCAGGGATCTTTGAGTACCATAATGAGATGTGCGAGATGCAGAATATGTTTATTGATGCTGTAAAACGAGGTTACACAAATTGAACCAACGTGGAACATATATTTTTTGCAAATGAATTATTTTTATATTGTTAAAACAAAAGAATCTATAACTTTTTATAGGGCCGAATGCA